CTGCCACTGCTGTTGCCGGCGAGGATGCTCCATTTTCTTCTCCGATGGGGCCATAGCCAGCTTCGGAGCTTGGATTTCGGCAGCAGGCAATGCGGCGGACGATCGATTCTTCTTCTTGGAGGAGTGATCGGAGGAGATAGCGCTGCCGTCGCGGATGCCCAGCCATGGAGAATCATCCGCGCTCCCCCGTTAGGGCAGGACTCGAACCCTGGCCAAATGCCAGTGTGGGCTTTATGAATGAGAAAATGGAGAGTGTTTGTTTTTATTTAGGTCTCAGATCCATGGAGGAGCATGGCGGGGGAGGATGAGCGCGCAATTGGATTTGCGCAGCTCCTAGGTCACTAGATCGCGTCGCTAGGGTAAGCTCAGAGCTATGGCCGGTGGATCTAAGACGATTCGCAAAGCTCTCGGCGCGCTCAAGGATTCCACCAAAGTCGGCCTCGCCAAGGTTAACAGCGAATTCAAGGTACTCTTATTGCGGTCTCTCCGATCGATCGATGCCGATTTCTCTCCTCCCAGGACTTGGACATTGCAGTGGTCAAGGCGACGAATCATGTCGAGTGCCCTCCCAAAGAGAAGCATGTCAGAAGTAAGTGAGATTTAGCCATCTAGTTTCTTAGCATGAATTGGATTGGATCATCTCAATCGATTTCTTTTTTCTTACTCGCCGCAGCGATCTTCCTTGCCACCTCGGCCGCCAGGCCCAGGGCAGACGTTGCCTACTGCATTCACGCTCTTGCCAGGCGCATCTCCAAGACGCACACTTGGACCGTAAGTAAGCTCGTAGTTGAGAAACACACGAATCCGGGACTTATGTTTGTGTTGCTCTTTGCTCACAGGTGGCCCTCAAGGCGCTCATGGTGATCCACCGGACACTCAGAGAGGGGGATCCAACGTTTCGCGAGGAGCTCATTAATTATTCACGGAACCGAGCGCATATCCTCAACCTGTCCAATTTCAAGGACGATTCTAGTCCCAACGGTACGCAAGGCAATCTGTTCATCTTCTTTGTAGATGCTGACTATACTTTGAACTTACCAGCATGGGACTACTCGGCTTGGGTCCGAACTTACGCATTATTTCTCGAGGAGCGGCTCGAGTGCTTTCGGATTTTGAAATACGATGTCGAGTCAGAGCGCTCATCGGTTAGTCCTCGCACTCGTTTTCCCCGGTACAATGAGTGAGCTTTGATGGAACAGGGTCACAGCAGAACCAGGGAGCTCGACACAATCGACTTACTAGAACAGTTACCTTCTCTACAACAGCTTCTGCATCGCCTTATGGGATGCCAGGTTTACTTTCATTCGTGCTTACAAAATACGAGTCCGTAATTCTTGAAAAAAATTCAGCCCGAAGGAGCTGCCACGAGCAACCACGTGATCCAGTACGCTTTGGGTCTGGTATGCTTGATTCAGTCTGAAACATTTGTAGTTGTTGATCATGACTTTAAATCATCGCAGGTTTTCAAAGAGAGCTTCAAGCTTTACAGAGCAATAAATGACGGGATTATTAATCTTGTAGACAAGGTTGGTAATAATCTGCTTTGTAGTATTCTAGTTCGTAATTGTTTTTCTCTCTGCTCTAGTTCTTTGAGATGCAACGGCATGACGCTATAAAGGCTTTGGAAGTCTACAAAAGAGCAGGGCAGCAGGTAAATTCAAGTTTATTGTTGTCGTCAAAGTATCATCTACACAGTGATTACAGGCAGAAAGGCTATCAGAATTTTACGAAATCTGCAAAGGGTTGGATCTCGCTAGGAGCTTCCAGTTTCCTACTCTTGAACAGGTATCCAACAATGAGCTCTTCGTTGACTATACATCTTCTTTTTTGGTTTCTAGCCTCCTCAATCATTTCTGACCACGATGGAAGAGTATGTTAAAGATGCACCTCGCCTCGCTATAGTACCAAAGGACCTTGCGGTAAGCTAACTGAAATAGCAGCGTTTCCATTGCTGATGAGTCTACTTTGGTTTGAAAGCTCGAGTATAATGGAGAACGTCTCATATCTAATCGGATCGCTGCGGCTCCAACAGAACCAGAGCCTGTTGAAGAACCCGCACCAGAAGCTCCACCACCACCACCACCACCACCATCAAAACCAATTCAAAGCTCCGCGTTCGAGAGCAATGATCTTCTGGTAAGCTGTACTTTAATGGCTTGTCTCTCGTTCATTATTGACATGGTCACAGGGCCTGGGAGAGATGGCTCCAAGCCCTTCAGCATTGGACGAAAGCAATGCGCTGGCACTAGCCATTGTTCCTTCCGGTAAGCGATTAGCATTCAGTTCATCGTAACGAACGAACGAAATATATACGGCCAGGTCCAACGGCAAATGGCACTTCGGAGTCAAATGGAGCCTGGGCACCAGAGAGTGGCACGACCGGTTGGGAGCTGGCTCTAGTGACCAATCCCAGCAGCAACGAGAATGCTGTCAGCTCGAGCAGACTGGTATGGTAACCTTGTTTGCAACTTTTCTGTGCATCCCTTAACACACACTTTTGCTTCTTCGTTTCACAGGCCGGTGGTTTTGACAAGCTGACGCTTGATAGCCTGTACGACGACGCGCTATCCAGACGACCGCAGCAACAGTACGCAGGAGGGGCGGGGACGAGCTACGGCGGACCACCGCAGATGATGAATCCATTCGACACAATGAACCACGACCCGTTCATGGCTTCTGGCAAGTTTGCCCCTCCGCCGAATGTACAAATGGCAGCCATGGCTCAACATCAGCAGGCACTCTTCTTGCAGCAGCAACAGCAGCAGCAGCAACAGATGATGAGTCGCAATCCTCACAATCCTTTCGGTGTTCCCGCGCCGCCAAATGCAAATCCACAGTTCCAAAACAATCCTTTCGGGAATCCGGGCCTAATATGATACACTGCGCGAGCGATGCTTGTGAGTTTTCAAATATTTTTTTTTTTGTGGCCCATTCTCTTCGCATTATTCTTCCGGTAGCATTATGCTTCTGATCATCCATTTGTGTTCCTCTTTTTTTCACTTTGTAGTAGACACTACCATCTGCATTCAGATGACGCTTTGTATTTGATGAGAAAGTTGATTCTTTATCTGGAGTGCTTTTTTACTCTACCAACTTTGCTTTTACCTTTCACTTTTACTCCTTACCGTGGAATTTTCGGTGTTTAATCTTCTCGTTATAGTCAACGGAAACTAAATGGCAGGGGAAAGAGGAGGCAACGCGGCTTCCTGTTTTTCTAGGGTTTGCAGTAGCGCAGGGGGGAAAGGTCTTTTATCTTTTTGTGGGCGGTTGGTGCGATGATAGGAGTGGCGCGGCGGTGGCGGAATCGGCGTCGTCGTGAATGGGATGAGGTTGAGAGGCGAACAGCAATCATGCCGCTACAGTTGATTCATCCTCGCTGTTTGATCCTCGTGGGTGGGAATCACACCGCCGCCCGCTTCTGTGCTCGCTAGGCCACTCCAAATCGTCCCCCTGGGTTTGTACAGCAATTCCAAGATTTTTTTCCCCCCATCGATCGATCCATGGGGTGGATCAGGCACGGCTCTCTCCTCCGCCCCCTCTTCCTCGCCTTGATTCTTACCCTAGTCTCCTTCCTCTCCATCAAGCTCGTCTATGATCCGGGGGCGCGGCCGGCGGCGGCGGCCAAGATCAAGTGGCAGCCGCGGCAGCAGCTCATGATCGCGGAGGAATTCGCGGCAACGGGCGAGGATCTCACGCTGCGCCACCGCTTCTCCTCCTACGACGAGTACCTCCAGCTCCAGCTGCGCAAGACGAGCGACGCCAAGCTGCGCAAGATCTGGACGAGCAGGGACTGGCGGCGCAAGGTGGATGCGTTTGGGGCAATCTTCCGGCGGCTCATCCAGCGCGATCTCCTCCGCCGGGAATCCAAGGCGCTGTGCATCGGCGCCAGGGTAGGGCAGGAGGTCCTCGCTCTCAGGGAGAATGGCGTGGTGGATTCCACCGGCATCGATCTCGTGCCGGCGCCGCCGCTGGTGATCCGTGGCGACATCCACAGCCATCCCTTCCCCAGCGACACTTTCGACTTCGAATTCTCCAACGTCTTCGATCACGCTCTCTTGCCATCGCGATTCGTGTCGGAGATCGAGCGCACGCTCAAGCCAGGGGGAATTGCGGTGATCCACGCCATCGTCCACGCCCGCGGCGACAATTTCTCCGCCAACCAGCTGCGCAGCCTGGATCCGCTGGTGGCGCTCTTCGAGAGATCCGAGGTCGTGGAAGTCCGGGCGGTGGACGCGTTTGGGCTAGACACGGAGCTAGTGATGAGGAAGAGGCCGATCCAGCCGTCCAGCTGTACGCCCAAGATCTCGCGTCACACGATGCGCCTCGCGGAGCCGTTGATCGTCCAGGAGCCGGCCAAGCCGTGGATAGTGCTCAAGCGCAACGTGGCCAAGATCCAGTACCTGCCACGCCTGCTCGACACGTCGGACTTCCACGCCCGGAGCCGCCACGTGTACGTGGACGTTGGCGCGCGCACGTACGGCTCCAGCATTGGCGGCTGGTTCAAGAAGGCGTACCCGACGTACGGCAGGAACTTCGCGGTGTACGCCATCGAGGCTGACGCGGCATTCCACGCTGGCTACGCCAAGCGCCGGGACGTGACGCTGCTGCCGTACGCCGCGTGGACGAGGAACGAGACGCTGATGTTCGGTACGGCGGGCGACGACAGCATGGGGAGGATACAGTCGGCGTCCTCGTCGGCGCCGCGTCGGACGTCCACGTCGGTGCAGGGCTTCGACTTTGCTGCCTGGCTGGCGGACACGGTGGCGCCCAGCGACTACGTGGTGATGAAGATGGACGTGGAGGGCACGGAGTTTGAGCTGCTGCCCAGGCTTATCGAGAGTGGCGCGATTTGCCTGGTGGACGAGCTCTTCCTCGAGTGCCATTATAACCGCTGGCAAAAGTGTTGCCCGGGCGAGCGGAGCGCAAAGTACAATCGCACTTACACTCAATGCCTGGCTTTGTTCCAGTCTCTCAGGGCCTCTGGGGTCCTTGCTCATCAATGGTGGTGAAATTTTTTTTTTCTCTGATTGTGTAGTGATCACACACAACTATATCATGGGTAATAGCGAATGAGTGCCAAATCGCATCATCTCATGGTAATCATCCTCTGCAACGTGTGGTTTTTACACTGTTGGTGGCAAAGCTGTGTTAGTGATTTCTAGTGATGCTCGTCATTTGCTTTTGTTGGTGATGCTTAACAGCATAGAGTTGCTTTCTTTCGGATACTGGCAATTGGGAAAAAGATCTAAAACCTTGCAAAGCTATGAAGCGACTGTGTTAGACAAGAGCAAATACCGTGATGAATTTCTCGAGCGATCGAGCTTCTTGCTCGCTCGCTTCGCTCTCTTAACATCCCCATGAACTCTACAGGCGCCCAGCAGTGTCATCCACGTAACAGCGTCGGCTTCAAACGGCATTTCTTTGATGAGATTTTCGGCTCCTTCCAGCCTTCCCGTTCGTCCCAGGAGATCAACCATGCAGCCATAGTGTTCTTGGCAAGGTTGGATGCCATAGTCATTCACCATTGAGGAGAAGTATTCCTGGCCATCTTTCAAGAGCCCTGCATGGCTACACACGAACAAGACAACTATGAACGTCACGTCGTTGGGTCGAATGCCTTCCAAGTCCTTGGAATCGAAGATTTCGAGAGCCTCGTCGACATGCCCGTTCTGTCCATAGGCTGCGATCATGGAGTTCAAGGCCACCACGTCTTTCCTCCCGAGATCATCGTAAACTTTCCTCGCGTTGTCCAGGCTCCCGCATTTTCCATAGAGATTGATCAGAGCACTCCCGAGCAGTGACTTGTCTAGCCTGAATCGCCGGCCCTGGATCTCCGAGTGAACGATCTTTCCAAACTTGAGCAAGTGTAGATTTGCACAAGCCTCCAGAACCACCGCAAACGTAACTTCGTCCACCTGAACGCCTTGAATGTCCATCGTTCGAAACGAGAGAATAGCATCCTTGCAGCGATGGTTCTGGGAGTATCCCGCGATCATCGCATTCCAGGACACAGTGTTTCTTCTTTCCATCTCGTCAAACAATGCCTTGGCCTCCTCGAGGCGACCATTTGATGCGTAAGCTGTGATCATAGAGTTCCAAGAAACAATATCACGATTGGGAGATTTCTCAAACAATCTCTTCGCCTCTTCCAGATTGCCATCCTCTGCGTAAGCGACGATCATAGTATTCCAAGACACGGCATTGCGATTTGGCATCTTGTCAAACAGAGCTCTCGCTTGGTCGATATGTCCATTTTGGGCATAGGCCGCAACCATGGAAGTCCAGGACGAGACATCGTGGTGAGGCATCAAATCAAAGAGCTTCTTTGCTTCTTCCGGGAATCCTTTCTGGGCATATGCCGAAACCAAGGCATTCCAAGATACCACGTTTCTCTGTGGCATCTCCATGAATATGCTCATCGCTTCTTTAAAGTCCCCCTTCTCGGCATACGCCGTCATCATAGCCGTCCACGAGACCACATTCCTCTGCGTCATCCGATCAAACAATTCTCTCGCCTCGTGAAGCTGACCGTTCGCTGCGTAAGCTCCAATCATGGCATTCCACGTGGCAGCGTCCTTCTCAGGCATCCGATTAAACAATTCCTCCGCTTCGTCCATTTGCCCGTTCTGGGCATATGCCGTGAGAAGAATGTTCCATGAAACCGGATCTTTAATAGTCATGGCATCAAAAAGGCTCCTTGCCTGTGACAAAAGCCCGTTTTGCGAATATGCCGATAACATTGCGTTCCAGGACACTACGTCACGCTTGGGCATCTTGTCAAAGATATTCTTTGCCTCCGCAAAATCCGTGTTTTGGGCATATGCCGAAAGCATAACATTCCACGTCACCACATTCTTTTGTGGCATCTTATCGAATAATTTCCTGGCCTCTTCGATTTGCCCATTGTGCGCATACGCTGTGATCATAACCGTCCACGAAACAACGGTTTGATTTGGAGAGCTGTCAAAGACTCTCTTCCCCTCTTGTAGATTCCCATTCTGGGTATATGCCGTGGCCATGGCGTTCCAGGAGATGGAATCTTTGTGAGGCATTCGATCAAACAGGCACTTTGCCTCTTGAATTCTCCCGGACTGTGCGTAAGCAGTGAGCATGGAGTTCCAGGACACGAGATCTGGCCGAGAAATCCTGTCAAACACCAGCTTTGCCTCATCGACATGCCCGTTTTGGGCGTAGGCTCCCAGCAGCAAATTCCACGAGAAGATGTTTGGATTGGCGATCCCATCAAAGACGAGCTTCGCATCTTTCACGCTGCCGCATTTCCCATACATCTCGATCAAGCGATTGCAGAGGAAACGATTCCTCGAGTGTGGGCTCGCCAGGAGATCGGCATGGATTAGCCTTCCCGTGTCGAGGTCGCGCGCCCTACCGCACGCACTGACCAGGGAGGCATATCCCTGCGCATCCATTTCAAATTCAAATTCAAATCGAAGAGTCTGGGCGGGGAGATGTTCTTGGGCATTTGCTGGTCGATTACATGATGGGCTTCTACGATGGATCGTCGCGACTGCCTTGCGGTGATTCAATCTTGCAAAACTCTTCCTTTTCTGGAGAGCTTCCACGCGAAGATAGAAAACCGAGTTGGATCTCACGATTTGTTCCTCACAAACAAGCTCATCGAAGCCTATGGGAAATGCCGGGGTTTAAAGCAAGCCAAAGCGATCTTCGATGCTCTCGGCAAGAAAGACTGTTATTCCTGGAATCTTATGATATCCGTATACATACGAAACAGTCAGCTAGACGAAGCCAAGCTGCTGTTTGACACAATGCCAAATCGGACACTGGTGTCGTGGACTGCCACGATGGCAGCATATGCCCAGAACGGGAATCTTGCTCTGGCAAAGCAGTTCTTTGATCGCATGCCAGAGAGGAATCTTATTTCCTGGACCGCAATGCTGACTGGATATGCCCAAAGTGGGCAAGTGGAAGAGGCCAAACGCATCTTTGAAGCCATGCCACTTCGGAATCTTGTGTCTTGGACTGGTATGGTTGCGGCATATGCTTTGAACGGGCATCTGGAAGATGCCTTACGTCTGTTTAACAAGATGCCTGAGAGAGATCCTGTTTCCTGGAACGCGCTTATTTCTGCATATGCTCAGGATGGGAATCTTCAAGAAGTTAAGGCCTTGTTTGATAAAATGCCGCAGAGGAGCATGGTGTCGTGGACGTCAATGCTGGTGGCATATGCTAAGAACGAGCATCTGGACCATGCTAAGAGAATGTTTAGAGAGATGCCGCAAAGGAATCTCGTTGCCTGGACGTCTATGATTGGAGCATATGCCGGTGATGGGTATCTAGAGCAAGCCCAGGAAGTATTCGACGAGATGCCCGAGTGGGAAGTGATATCTTGGAATGCTCTGCTCTCGGCATATGCCCAGGCAGGGAATCTTAAAAAGGCAGAGGAGATTCTTAGCAAAATGCCGGAGAAGAATCTGGTAACGTGGAATGCCATGGTGGCGGGATATTCGCAAAGCGGATTTCTGCGCGAGTCCATCTCAACTTACGAAATGATGCCGGAGCACAACGTAGTGTCATCGACGGCAGTGATTGCCGCCTACGCCGAAAGCGGGAAAGTCGAGGAGGCTAGGTGCTTGTTTGAAAGCATGCCTGAGAAGGATCTCATCTCTGCCTGTGCCTTATTATTTGCTTATGCCCAAAACGGGTATATGGACGAAGCCAAAATTTTGTTCCAAAGCCTGAAAGAGCACACGATCATACTATGGACTGGAATGGTGGCGGCTTATGCGCAATGTAGTTGTTTAGAAGAAGCCAAGCAGCTATTCGATCAAATGCCTGAGAAGAACATAGTGTCGTGGAACGCTATGTTTTCTGCTTATGCCCAAAAGGGTCATCTAAACTTTGCAAGGGATATGTTTGCCAGACTTCCCGAGCGAAACACCGCTACATGGAACGCACTGATTGCAGCAAATACCCAAACCGGCCATCACTCCGAGGCTTTGGAGACGTTTCACACGATGCAAATGACGGAGGTGTGCGACGACACGAGCCTGGTGCTTGTTCTCTTGGTTTGCAGTCGAGCAGGAAACGTGAAAACGAGCAAGTTTGTGTTCCAGTCGATTAGCATGGACTACCACGTCGAGTTGACGAAGCAGCACTTTGGGTGCATGGTGGATCTGCTGGGACGAGCTGGGCATCTGCGGCATGCCAAAGATCTCATCGCCAACATGCCCTTCCTGCCCGACGGCCTCGAGTGGCGATGCTTTCTCGGTGCGTGTCGAAGTTTCAATGACACTGCTCGAGGGGCTATGGCGGCCAAATCCGCTCTAGCACACGAGGAGGACGCTGCGGCTTTCGTGTTGCTGGCGAACACGTATACTGACACTGGAAAATCCGTCTCGAATAACAGAGATGAAGAGCTTGAATTCGATGAAGCAAATGTGCTTCAAATGCACTGATAAACTTGAAAACCACCGTCAAGATCAGCGCCAAAAAATCTTATTGTCGAGAAACGAATCTGTACCTCGCATTTGTGCTGCTCGGAAATCTTTTTCGATCTTGTCAGTAGAAGTTGAGACCACTGCACTGCTGAGACAAGCGGCGTTGGTGATGCGCGTAGAACTCGCAGACTGCGTTGACATCTTCCATGTGTTGGGCTAAGTCACCAGGCAAATCTAGACTATCCAACTTCGACCCGACCCCGGCTTTTGCTTCGTGACAAGCAAGGAGGAAAAGAGCTGCAACGTCCGGGCATTGAGCATTCAGAGCTCGAAGCGCCTCGGACAATGCCCCTGCCGCCACGAATAGTGTCGAAGCCCTGCATTGCGAATGGAAGTTGCATGAGAAAAAATGAGGGACTTGGAGATAACTCACTTCCAGATGTTATGCTCTGTTTGTAGAACATGCTCCGCCCAACGCTCCAAAACTCTGCAAAATGATTTGAGTTAAACAAGAACAAAATCCAAAGCGCCAGGCTACCTCGAGAGCTCTGGCCCGCTTAGTTTCGATGCAGCAAGAGTGCAGGCATCCTCCCAACGACCAGCATCTTGGAGCTGGAGAAAAAAAGGTAAATTACAGAAATGGAAGTGCCAGGGGATTACCTGTGAGCATGCTTCTTGATAACGCCCAACAGCGCAAAGCAAATGTGTGCCACCAAGTGAATCGTCCGTGGCCACCATATTCGCGGCAACAACCTGCGTTCAAGTAGAATTATACATAGATGTTTACGACCATCTAGTTCTTACTTTGATTGCTAGCTCATGTAGTCCCGGAGAGACAGCTGCCGCGAGAGTTACAGCCCGAAGAGCGTCAACATAAAAGTGAGGATTCTCTGGAGGTGTAGCCAGGAGCAGTGTAACAGCAGCTTCGAAATCTCCAGCAGATACATATCTATCAAACGTGTGAAAACCGAAGCACAAGTCACGAAAAGACTTACTCATGTACTAGCTTTTGTGCTGCCTCATCTCCCCCAAGCGTTTTGTGCCATGATATTCGTTCTTCGGATACCGCACGGACAGTAGCTCGATCGCAGGCAAAAGCTGCCTGCATAACAAATTTAGGCATCATAATGTCTACAGTATGAACGTAAGGCAGACCATCTTCTTCGTCGACCAAGTTTGTTCTTTACGCGAATTCTCGTTATCGTTTGATAGCTTGGCAGACCCCTGCTCCCTGAAAGAACTTAAACTTTCTTTCAAAGTTGGAGCAGGCTCAGTGGGTCCATCAACCAAGAGTGCAAGCGCTCTCGGAAGCTGTAGCCAGAATAACGCCTCTAAGTAATTTCCAAAATGTGCAGCCGCAAATGCCAACCGGGAAGCACATCCTTGTTTGCTTAAAGCTGTGTAATTACGTATACTTTGAGCATCCAGCAACCGTCCTGATTGCATACACCATTTTAGCATGTAGAAAATGAACAAAAACACGAGAGCTTGCCTGTCCTACGAAATGGTTCTAGTGCCTTCAACAATATTTCCAAAACCACAGAGTCTCCCATAGCGGGAAGATTGGTCTCCAGGAGAAACTGGCGTAAATCTCCAGAAAATTCAACCAAACTTTTGGATCTGTCCACAGGTGATGTACCAAACCACGAAGCAGAAACTCCGGTTTGTAGAAGTATACGAAGAGCCTGCAATTCGTGAATTGAAGTTACAAACTCTAGGTTGGAAACAGTATTACCGAAGCTTGTGGATAAGGAAGTAGCGCGGGCGAATAAACTGGCATTGGTCTTGATTTCTCCCAAGATGCCACCATCGACCTTGATCCACGGCCTCTGTAGAGATCATAACAAAGTTTAATTCGATATGCAAACACGAAAAACTCACTTCGTGGTTTGAATCTCAAGCATCCTAAAGCTCCCGTCAGCACCAACTAGGCATAATTGTAGCGGATCCTGTTTCTCTATGCGCAAAGGGTACCAGTCAAGCTCTAGCACAAGCATTCCAGCCAGCTGAGGTTGTACAAGCGAGTTGGCCACAGGGTCTTGTGTATCCTGTATTAACAAGTTAGGAAAGAAAACCTTCCAGAAGGTATGTTTACCAGATCATAAACCGCAAACGTGTTGTCATTGAACAAAACTGCGACGCGTCCTCTAGTCGAGTCATTTGCGGACACTGGGGCGAATTTAATTCTTCGAATACCTCCCCTGTGGGTGTTGAACGAAGATGATGAACCAGATGTCACATCCCACCACCGAAGATTTCCAACACGATCTCCCATAACCTGTGAAAGAAACACAAGATGGTAATGTGCATCGACAATGACATTGAAAACATTTACCACATGGGGCATCCGATATGCCATTGCAGTGACCAGAACATCCGTCAATACAAAAGATGACACAGGCCATTTGGGCCTGCCAGACAGATAAAACTCAATTACATTGGAAACCAGAAGTGGAAACGCTTACTTGAAGTCGCGAACTCTTCTGCCCCGAAGCTCAAACACTCCTAGTGAACCATTTACTAAAGCGAATGCAAAACTTTCGGCTGTTTCGTCTTGTTGCGATGCGTCCGCTGGCAAAATAAATAACCGAACTAAGTGATCACAATGAAGGTGCTTTGATTGTCCTGACCTTGATCATCACCAGCCGGAGATGCGTTAGCTGCAGCAACAGTGGAAGCTATAGTCGGGCGTTCTCGATATGCAAGAGATGGTCGATGCGATGGTAATTGCGGCGGGTCCGAAGGCTTCGGTGCTGGTGGCAATGCCCATTCCATCACAGTAAACGGCAACGCCAAAGATCGAAGCTATCAGAACAGAAATATTTTTCACTAAAAAGCAAATGAGAAAACGAAGGAAAATACCATTTGAGGATTTTTCGTCATAGCCCATACTTCTGCTGGAGCCTCCCGGAACAGAATCAGCATGTATCTGATTAAAAAGGCACTTTAAGTAGGAGTAACACAAGCAAAACTAGGCTACCTTCCAGAAGGAGAAGTCCGAAGAGCTCGCATTGGCGCTCTCTCAGGCTTTTGAAGAACGCGAAAGCATCGACTTTGGCCACTCCGTATACAAGTCAAAACAAGTCTGTTAATAAATCCACCTCCTTTTCCTTTCACCTGCGCTATAGTGAGCAAAATCGTGATGAAAGGTTGACAAATTTACCTCCGTATATGAAAAAGAAACGAGACGCGTATTTCCCAGCCAACGAATTCCTCGAACAGCATTGTTGTTATGTACAGAGAACGAGGATGTGATTGCATGGGCAGAGGGATCATGAAGTTCTAAAGTTCCCGACTGTGTGGCTAAAGCAGCAAGTGGGACAGATGGTGCCGCCGCATTTCCACCACCTGACGAAATGGAAAACCGCTTGTTAAAGAGCCTACGACACAAAAAGTTTTACCTGACATGGTTGCTAGCAAGGAAGGCACGGCGACCGCTAAAGTTATCACAGAAGATGGCAGGAGATGTAGTTGTCCAGTTAATTCTAGCTGCAGCTCAAGAAGAAGAGCAAATCCCACTGTCACGGCTGCAAGGATACCACTCCGTGTAGCTAGATTAATCAACGAGCATGAAAGTCACACCTAGCTGCTTGCTAAGTTCATGCATGCCGTACTTAACCATAACCAACACCTAAACTCCAATGCAACCAAGGAACAGAAAAACTTACTTGAAAGGCGAACTCAACATTAGAGTTTTCGCTTAGCTGATGCAAAGAATCGTGCTTCATGCGCCACTCCCATAGTCTCCCATCGTCTGAAACCGAGACGAACGTTATATGAGCTTGCTGCTTCGGAGGCTCGAGCTCGACGCCATGGGGCATTCCAATCGGGCAGAAGGTGACGGCAAGCACGGAAGGCGGAGGAACCGGGGTCCCAAACGAGGGCATGAGGCTGTCAATCTGTACAATCGAAAAAACCTGGCTGTTCCTGCAATCATACGTTCAAGCGAGAAGAATTAGTATGAGAAAACACAGAAAGACGTTTTATACTCACTCTTTTCTCTTCCAGCTGCTGAGCTTGCCGTCGACGTGAGCAAAGAACAAGAGCTCGCCACCCACGTCCGCCACCAAGTCAAGGAACTTTGCACAGCCGCGGGGTAGCGGCATGGACGAGAGTGTCATCCCCAAGTGTAAGTCGAAGACCACAATCTCTCTGGGAAGAACCACGTAGAGAATGCCCCGGCTGGCTCCAAACGACGAGGAGAAGTGGCATCGAGCAGAGGTTCCCATCACCATGGAAGGCAATGCAGCCGCAGTCGTGGAATTGGAAGCTCCTCCACCACCCGAAGACGGAGTTCCCCCTGTTCCACTGGCACTGCTAGCGCTACTGGACGATCGGTCGCGTTCGTCATGATCGCCAATGCTTCTAGCTTCCAGCTGATAACTCTTGGATAAAACACTATTGTTCTCGGTCCCAGTAACCAGTATCGAGAGAAGTAAACCTTTGACTCCCAGAGCACAGAGCTGGCGAGAATCCAAAGGATCGCAACGCAGGCAAGTGAGAGTATCCGCGGCGTCATACCTCCAGATCGCGGATCTCGAGCGAGGATCCCAGATCACGAGCAAATTCGCGCCATGGATTGCCGCCAGCAACCACGACGGATGCGAATGGATCCAGCAGAGATTATAAACGCCACCGCTGCTAGAACCGGTGTTCTTGTCGTCCCCGAGCCAGGTCGCGACCAAACCCGAGCTCACATCCCAGATTGCGATCCTCCCCTGCCGATCGCCCGCCGCCAATTGGAGCTTTTGTGGGGCCGAGAGATCTTCCATGGCAGAATGGGGCAATCCCTGGGGCAGCCACTGCAATGCTGAGACATAGGACGCCGGGAGCGATGGCCGGGGCGCGGGCATTGGCAGCACGAGCAGCAGCTGCATGGATCGAACATCCACAAGAACGATCGCGCTACCGGCTCCATAGGCCAGCAACCCGTGCGCGCTGCAATCTGCACACCCCGCATTCTCCCTGCTCGCCGGTCCCGGCATGACCATCGCCATCGCCATCGCAAGAGCCCTAAAATGTAAACCCGCCCTAGGGTTAGGTCAAGGAAGGAAAAGAGAGAGAAAACAGGGTCGTCGTCGCCATGGACGAGGAGGGCCAGATGGGCGAAGTGCTCAAGGAAGTCTTCCCCCTCCTCACGGGGAGGGATCTTGCGGCGTGCATTTGCGTGTGCCGGCAGTGGCGAGACGTGGGCAGGGACGATTTCCTCTGGCGACGCCTCTGCGCTAGCCGCTGGCCATCGATCTGCCTCAATTCCAGCAATTCCCACCAGCGATCCACAATCGGATCATCCACAATTGGGGCAATTCGCGGCTACCGCAATCTCTTCTCCACAATCGCGAGGAGCAAGAGGAACCGGGCACTCCCGGCGCCCAAGCTGTGTTTCAGGGACCTGGAGTTCTACGTCGACGTGTGGGTAGGGCGGAAGTCCGTATACTCGGCCATTGTGGCTGGGCCGGTCGTACAGTCGCGGATCAAGGACCCGCCAGAGGGAATCTGCGACAGCATGCGACAGCATCTTCTCAGCAGCGAGTACAAGATGAGCGTCCCAGTGCTGCCCTATTTCCAGTTTAGCCCTAGCAGCGATGTCAGCGACAGCGACGATGGCGTTTGTAGCATGTCCATGCTCGTGAGGCGCAAGGACAGTGATCAGATCGCTACCATCATCGACGGCTCGCGGTTCACGTACGTGGACGGCCTGGAGAAGCGCGCGCACGCCTACGACTACCTCCACATCTCGCCGCTGTACCCGTTCCTCTCGGAGATTAGGGCTTGGGTGGCGCTGCTACTTGTGGAGAGGCCGCCAAATACGATGGCCGAGGTGTTTGGGATCGAGCTGGATTTCCTTGACACGGCTAGCTCCGACGATGAGGTCCTCTTGCTCCTCGACATCCTCGACTGGAAGTAAAAGTTAAACTGCAATGTCGTACTCCCAGTAAATGTAAATTATAATGTACGGCTATCAATTCTCTTACAAGTTTAAAATGATTCTGGGAACTTCTGCGAAACAGTGCTTGTGATTCGCGAACCGATGATGATGATGATGAGAATACTACCTATGTTTGTATGCTCGCCTTGACCCGCATATAAAGACAAATTCAAGAAAACGGCGCAGTGGAAGCGAGAAGAAATTTCGGTGCTTTCTTGGCTGGCAAGCAGCGCCGCGATCCATTAGACCAGCAGCATTCTCTTCCTGATTGTCTTCCCAGGAAATTTTCATCCATGGCGCTCCCATTTCAATGCAGGAGGATTGGAATCCTCCAAACCCTCGCCCCAGCGGCGATCGTCTCCAAGATGCTAGCATTCTCCCTTCTTCTCCTCTACTTCTCCCAGATCTGCGATGGCGCTTCTCCCTATCAATGCCCTAGCTGCGGCAACGCGACGGTGCCATTTCCTCTCAGCACCGATCCATCCTGCGGCAGGCCAGACTACGCGATCCTGTGCCGCCAGGGAAATCTCGAGCTCCAGGCGCTCAATGGCCGCTACTCGATCCAGCGCATTGACCGCGAGTCTCGAAATATCGTCATCTCCTCCATGCCGCTGGCGCCGGCGAGCTGCACGACGCTGGACGCGATCAATCCCTCGCCGGCCAGCGGCGGCAGTGGCGGCCTGGTGCTCAATCAAAGCCAGGCATTCAATGTCACGAGCAGCAACACGATCCTCTTCCTCAACTGTTCTTCAATCTTGCTGCGATCGCCGCTCAATTGCTCCTCCAGTAGCGTCTGCCACCGCTACATCGATTCCACGCCCAGCGCCAGCGCCTGCCGGGGCGATAATCTCTGCTGTAGCTTCACGGCTGGGGGATCTAGCACATCCCACACTATCCGAACGAGAACCGATGGATTGGGCTGCTCGGCATACGTGAGCGTCGTGCGTATGGATCAGAGCTTAGATCCCAGGCAATGGAGCTATGGTGTGGAGCTGGGATGGGCGCCGCCCAGGGAGCTCCAGTGTGGCGGCGAGGGAGACGATTGCGACACCGAGGATTCATCGTGTAGGATGGATTCTACGAGCGGGGGCTTCCGGTGCTTGTGTGATCCAGGCTACGTCTGGAATTCCGACGAAGGGGTTTGCTCCAGCACAGGTATGTGATCAAGAATTATTTTCGTTTCGTCGGAGTTTTAGGGTTCTTCGTTTCATGTCTCTCAGCTTGCAATGGCGCTGGCTGTTCGCGATCCAACAACGCGATCCTTATCGCAGGTAGGGACAGATTTCTTGCTCGATTCTCTTACAATAAAATGCTCGCTCTTCCAGGTCTTGCATCGGGAGGCGCGGTTTTGGCAGCAATACTAGCCACTGCGATCTTCGTTGTCCACAAAAGAAGATCTAGGAGGGCGATGAAGCGGGCAAGCAGGGCACAAGAGCTCGCACTGATCATGTCCAATGCTGGCGGAGGAAAAACTTCAAGGATCTTTACCGCGGGAGAGATGAAGCGTGCCACGAACAACTTTTCCAAGGAGAGGCTCTTGGGAACGGGTGGATTTGGAGAAGTCTACAAGGGAACTCTCGATGATGGAGTGGTCGTTGCGATCAAGCTGGCCAAGCTTGGAAACATCAAAGGCAGGGACCAGGTGATCAACGAGGTGCGCGTTCTCTCGCAAGTGAATCACAGGAACTTGGTCCGGATCTGGGGTTGCTGCGTTGATACTGGCGAGCCTCTAGTCGTCTACGAATACATTCCCAATGGCACTCTCTACGAATGGCTTCATGTGGGCAGAGGTTTTCTTGACTGGAGATCTCGGCTTCGAATAGCTTTGCAAACTGCCGAAGGTCTGGCCTATCTCCACTCAGCAGCGTATCCACCGATTTACCACCGAGACGTGAAGTCCAGCAACATACTACTCGATAACTCTTTGGTTGCCAGAGTTTGCGACTTTGGGCTGTCGAGGTTAGCCGAGCCAGACTTAAGTCACGTCTCGACTTGTGCACAGGGGACTTTGGGCTATTTAGACCCGGAGTACTACAGGAAGTATCAGCTGACAGACAAGAGTGACGTCTACAGTTTTGGTGTCGTTCTACTGGAGCTGGTTACGTCTCAAAAAGCCATCGATTTCTCCAGGGACCAAGATGACATCAACCTGGCAATGTATGTCATTGCGAGAACCGAGAGAGGGGACGTCATGGATGTGGTTGACAAAAGGCTGCTTGATTTTCACAACGGTGATAACGCCTTCGAAGTCGTGACTAGAGAAACCATTGTTGGTGTGGTGATGTTGGCGCTTAATTGTCTTCGGGAGAGCAAAGACGAGCGTCCGACAATGAAGGAGGTCTCGGATGAGCTCAACTACATCATCGAGACTTACGATACCGCTGAGGTCTACAAATTCTAGCAAAGGTAGAAATTTTGTTTCATAATTTCTGATTCTTAACCTCACTCTGGTTCACCAGGAGCGGGTCAAGCAGAAGAAAAGTTGAGCTTGAGCAGTAAAACTTAACGTCACGTTTAGATTTCTTCAAGGTAAGCAGAGATTTTCTCTTAGAAATCAAGACATTTCGCTGATAGGCCCTAGGCATGGCGTTGGCGAGTTTTCAAACAGCTTCCAGTAGGAATGGGCGACTTTCAGCGACACTGTCACCAGCCCTTGGGAAGTCAAGCGTGTTTATCATGCCTGAGATCGGTAGGAAACGTCAATTTCTCTCTTACCGTGTGGATGTAGCGCGTAGAATGCAAGCTACAAACAGGCTCAGCGAGGTATTGCCATTTCTGAAGCAAGGTGATAAAGATGCGGTGAAAAAGGAGCTTCTGTCAGAGATTGAGCCGCTGGACAGAGGGGCAGCAGCCACGGAAGACGATCGAATGCGTATCGACAAGGTATGGAAGAGCTTCATATCTGGCAAAAAAATGTATTTATCTTTGGAAACAGCTTGCTCAGAAGTTGGAGGCTTTAAATCCCACCAAAGCACCACTGAAGTCGCCTCTACTCAACGGAAAGTGGGAGCTTTTATACACGACATCACAATCCATACTCAAATCGAACGTACGTATACTCTGTCTTTGCTACGGCTGACGTTGTAAACTGTTCCTCACGTGCAGCGTCCAAAGCTGCTGCGGCCGAATGGACCAATCTACCAGGCGATCAACAACGACACTTTGAGAGCTCAAAACTTAGAAACCTGGCCCTTCTTCAACCAGGTTGACGTCAGTCAGTATTTCATGATATCCGATTCCTTATACTTGCGTTGTAGGTGACCGCAAATCTAACCCCTGCAAGCTCTTCCAAAGTGGTGGTCAATTTTGATTTCTTCAAAATCGCAGGCTTGGTAAAGTGTCAATCGCTGCTAGTGTATGTACAGGAACTCTAAAAAAAACGTGCAATTCAGATTCCAATCAAGGCTCCAGGACGCGCACGAGGAGAACTGGATGTAACTTACCTGGACGAAGATTTGCGGTGAGCTTGAACGTCTTTTGCGTTTCATGCTCTGATCAACTCCTGGCTGTTGCAGCGTCTCTCGCGGTGATCGGGGAAACTTGTTCGTGCTAAAGATGTTCGACCGGAGCTATCGAGTTCCAACACAAGGATAGAAGAAGAGTTGTCTTTTTCTTATTATCGAGCAAAAGCAGTATAACAAATGGGACACAGCGGAGGGGCTGGGAGGTACATCAATGCTTGTTAGGAGCTAACTAGCAAAATACGCATGATCAAACCAATCTTTTCCAGTTTGTTTTTTTTTTTTTTTTTTGTTCTTTTTTCCTTTGTTTTCGTCGTCGTTCCTGTGCTTCATTCTCACGTACTTTGTTCTTTGTTGGCCAGGTCTCAAGCATCAGCCTTGTCGTACTTGAGTGGCTTTGTCGTCTCCCAGCTGAAGTCTGGGTCGTCCCGACCAAAGTGACCGTAGGCCGCCGTCTTCTGGTACCGCTTGTTCCCACCACGCTTCAAATCCAGATGAATCGCGATCATTCCCGGCCGGAAGTCAAAGTTCTCCTTGATGAGCTTGAGGATCTCACCGTCTGGAACCTTGCCAGTGCCATACGAGTCGACGAACACCGACAGCGGCTCCGGAACTCCAATGGCGTAAGACACCTGAACGATGCAGCGGCGAGCCAGCCCCGCCGCCACCACGCTCTTGGCCGCCTGCCGCACAATGTAGGCACCGCTGCGATCCACCTTGGTGGGATCCTTTCCGGAGAAGGCACCACCTCCGTGAGCTCCCCATCCGCCGTAGGTGTCGATGATGATCTTCCTGCCGGTCAGGCCAGCGTCGCCGTGAGGGCCGCCGATGACGAACCTCCCGGACGGGTTGAGATGGAAGATGGTCTTCTCATCCAGGTACTGCTCGGGGATCACCGGCTTGATAACGTACTCTCGCAGGTCCGCGGCGATCTGATCGTTGGTCACGGTCTCGTCGTGCTGGGTGGAGATGAGGACGGTGTGGACGCGGATTGGAACCATAGCTCCACCTTCGTTGCGGTACTCGACGGTCACCTGGGTCTTGCCATCCGGGCGGAGCCACTTGCAAGTTCCGTTCTTGCGGACCTCGGTGAGCTTGGCGCCGAGCTTGGTGGCCAGGACGTGGCTGAGCGGCATGAGCTCCTCGGTCTCGTCCGTGGCGTAGCCAAACATGTGTCCCTGGTCGCCGGCTCCGATCTCCTCGGGCTTCTTGGTGAGGTGGCCGTGGACGCCCTGCGCGATGTCGGGGCTCTGCTGCTCGATGTTGACGAGCACCTTGCACTTGTCCGCGTCCAGGCCGACGTCGTCCGAGGTGAATCCAATCCCGCGGCAGGTGTCGCGGACGATCTTCTCGTAGTCGACGTTGGCCTTGGTCGTGATCTCGCCGAAGATCATCACCATGTTGGTCTTGGTGCACGTCTCGCAGGCCACCTTGCTGTCCGGGTCCTGTTCCAGGCACGCATCCAGGATGGCGTCCGAGACCTGGTCGCAGAGCTTGTCCGGGTGACCCTCATTCACGGACTCCGAGGTGTACAAGAAGGAATCCATCTGTACGTTCACAAAAGAATCAAACTGTGAGAAGCGCCACCAAAAACCCTGTGAGCGGCGACAATCTAGGGAGAATCTAGGGAGAAAATGCGAAGGAAACCTAGGCGAGAAGAGAGAAGCAATAAATCTGGGAAACCTAGTCCTAGAACACGAAGATTCAAGCGGGGAAAACCCCTGGCTCACTTACCTCGATTGGAATGCGAGCAGATCTGGAGGCGCCGCCGCGAGATCTGTGCTGCTGCCGGTGGTGCGCGATGGATTGCGCGGCGGATCGAGGAGGAGGAGATTGGGGCGGCACGAAGACGCAGTAGGCGCGCCCTGGGGCTTTTGAAGCAACCGGGGTCAACAAAAGCTCGCTGCTGGCCGCTCCAAGCTTACCAACCCTTCCCACGGTAGCTAGACTGTGGCCAGCCGTACCGCCCGCTTTTGGATTTGTGCCACTGGCCCACATGGAGCGAATCCGTGACGCGAATATACTCGCCCGTTTCAAACCGCTGCCACGGTTCGAATCCCTCCCCTAAAATCCTAAAAATTAGGGCACCACCATTTAAAGGCGCCACCTTTCCCTTTCGCTTTTCTTTACAAGATGGTCCATTCTTTTATGTCGAGTGTCGTACGCTCTTCGTACGTCCTTTTCTATGGATGGATGAATGCTTTCATGGATCCACTCATTCACTGCCCAGATTACAACAGCCACCACCACCCGTGGAAAGTTTTAAATGCCGCGAAAAACCAGCAAATCGAGGAAAATATCATCCGCATCCGCCATGGTCGTATCAAGAATATCAACGCAAATGGCTGGGACATTTTTCCCATTTCAATCCAAAACGAACAAACACTTTCTACAAGCAATCGAAGAAGAAATCGTCGTCCTCGAGATGGAGCTCTGCCACCAAATCCGCAAATGCGAGCTTGATGGATTCGTGCTGGTCTGGCGAATTTAGAGCGATGTAGCAGTAGAGCAGCTCCTGGAGCTCGGGCCACTCGAAAATTCCATTCTCGCGCACCATTTGCTCCATGGAAACCCTAAAATCGTTGTAGGGGTCGCAGGATTCCATCACTAGAGGGATGGCATTGCTGGCTGGGCCGCGCAGATCTGGAGGCAATGCCGCGGACAAGCTGTGATTTCTTCGTCGCTGCCTCGTGATCTTGGCAAGATATTCATCTTTGGTGTGGTCTTCTTCTTTCTTTGTGCATGCTTGCCCGGATTCTTGATCCCAATGCGCGATTTCTGGATCCCCTTGTTCGATTTCGCTGCAAGATGACTCGATTCCAGCGCTTGGTGCTATAGTCGTAGCGTCGCAGCAGTCGAATCCCGAGATTTCGAGCCTGCTCTTGAGCGCGCAAACGTCGAGGTCGCGGCTCCCGTAGCTCGACATGGACGAGAATTCCAGATCCCACATCTTCTCGACGTCGGCAATGCGCGCCTCGATTGGCACCGTTGCCCGCGCTAGCTGCTCCTCGATTTTCTTGGCGTCCAGCGATTCCCCTGTTTTGGCAGACAATTTCTCCCCTGGCTGATCCATTGCTTTGGATTTCGGTGATAGATCTTTGGAACTCCAGGACCTCGCCATACGCGAGAAGCTAAAATGCGTTCTTTTCATGGCCGAAGAGGAAAGATTTGAATGAGGTAGAAAGATCAAAGAAAAGAAAGAGTTCGTGCAGAGAAAGAAGCGCTGGAAGAAAGTCTTCGACGACGAAGAAAGGATCGATTGGCGCTTTCTACTGCCTACTGCGATGTCGATCGAGGCTATATATCCTTGGGACTCCACCGCGAGATTAATCCCCGCGATTCTACCCTAGCCAGCTCGATCCAGGCAGCCAAATCGCCACGGCTTCATCCCCCCATTTACTGGAAAAGATCCGCCATCTCGATCTCACACTTTCGCAGCAGCAGCAGTATAGCAGCATTCGTCCAGCTCGCGAGGATGAGAAAAATTCTTGGGCAGGAAATTTATTCCTCCATCGAAAACCTTTGGAATCTTCACTACCCCTTACAGGAACAATGGAAATCTCTCACGCAGTCGTAGGGGCCCCGCCTCATTCCACACTCGTTCTCACAACTGGCGGTTTCTCATTTAAGGAGCGACATGGCCTCCACACCAGCCCAGAGAAATTCCTCCCCGCCCAGATCAATCATCTCACCGGGGGGCCCAAGAGCCCTAAAACTTGCCATGTACTACATTCTCTCGCGAGCATATTCTACCGGATATGCTCCCGAGGGCTACATTCCAACCGCAATCCCAGCCGCAAAATGGTCACACGTGTATAAGCAACAGGACAAAAAGAAAGCTATCCAGCTCCGATCAAACATCGCATTTTTAACGAATAAAAAGGATTCTTGGGATCGGAAATTAGGGTTCTTCCGCGACATGGATTAGGGCGGCAGCCACTTCCCCCATCCGCGGCCGATCCTCGGGATTCGCGGCCAGGCACTGGAATGCGATCTCGGCAACGCGCAGCGCCATCGCCCTCACCATGCAATTCCTGGCGGCCTCCAGGTGGGGATCGATAATCTGCTCGAACGCGCCGGCCTGGAGCATCCCCACGGCGTAGGGCGCGAGATTGACGCGCTCGCGCGAGAAATCCACCGCCGGCTTGGCGGTGATGAGCTCCATGAGCAGCACGCCAAAGCTGTAGACGTCGCTCTTGTCCGTGAGCGCGTAGCACTGGTGGTACTCGGGGTCCAGGTATCCCGCCGTGCCTTGCGCCCCGATTGACACGTGGCCTTCAACCGCGGCGGCGGCGGCGGCCGCTTTGGAGAGCCCGAAGTCGCCCAGCTTGGCGTGGAAGCCCTCGTCCAGGAGGACGTTTGTGGATTTGACGTCGCGGTGGAGGATCGAGTAGGAGTGGAGGTATGCCAGGACCTGGGCGATGTCGATGGCGATGGCGAGCCGTGTGAGCCACGGCAATCGCGATTTCTTGGTGTGGAGGTGATCGGCGAGGGTGCCATTGCCCACGAATTCGTAGACGAGGAGGAGGGATTGGCCGTCGGTAGAGCAGCCCAGGAGCTGGACGAGATTTGGGTGCTTGAATCGCGAGAGGATGTCGATCTCCGCCATGAACTGGGGCGATGCTTGCTGGGGCGATCGGTGGAGGAGCTTCACCGCGACGACGTCGCCTCCACCGCCAAGGGTTCCTGCGTAGACTGTGCCAAATCCACCATCGCCCAGCCGGCGATTCTCGGAGAATCCGTTCGTGGCGAGCTCCATCTCCTGGAAGGAGAATTGGCGGACTTGGGAGAGGGATTTGCGCGCCGACTGGCCCAATTCGAGCTGCGTTTTGCTACACTGCCGGTGGAGCTCTTTCCTGGCGTAGATGATGATCATTGTCAAGGTGAAAACCGCCAGGAAGCACGCAAATCCTGCCAAGAACACGTATCAATTTCCCTTGGATGAATGGATCGTTCAATACCTACGAGAAGGTGTCTCTGGAGCGGGTGGTTCAATCCATGATCGTAACCACTCAGTGGAGGAGCGATTTGTGTAGCGTTTGCATCGACAGCGAGTGCCAGGATGATCATCCTCTTCTCAAGTCGATTCGATTTTACGTTTCTTTGAGTGTCACGGGATCGGTCAAAGTGCGTGTAAAGTAGGACAATGACCGGAGGACTTTGACCATAAACATAAAACCTTCTAGAGCGCTGCGAAGTTTAAAGATAAAATAGAATCTTCCTAGGGATATTCTTCCCCACGTGTCACTCTATCTCAGCCGTCAAATTTGAGAGCCTCGAAATAGGGTTTAGGGTTTGTGGATCATGGAAGGCGCGATGCTGCATTCGTCCTATTTCTCCGTGAACGCCAGGCCGATGAGCAGGCGCAGCAGCACCATTTCGGCAGTGATGGCGCCGCCGCAGCAACAGCGAGCCCCTGCTTCCACTGGAGCGGTAAGTTTTTCCCCGCATTCGAGCTACAGTTTGTGGATTTCGTCCTGGATTTTCTCTCAGGTGAAGCACGCAATGACACTGACTGAGAAAATTCTCGCTCGCGCTTCCGAGAAGACAAAATTGGTGCCTGGGGAGAATGTGTGGGTCAATGCCGATGTTCTCATGACACACGATGTTTGCGGGCCTGGGACCATTGGGATCTTCAAGAAGGAATTCGGTGCTAACGCTAAAGTACGTATGCTACACATTTTTCTCTTTTCTAGATCTGTGCCCTCAGGTTTGGGATCGCGAGAAGATTGTGATCATCCCCGATCACTACATCTTTACTGCGGACGAGCGCGCTAATCGAAATGTGGATATTTTGCGGGACTTTTCAAAAGAGCAAAGTATCAAGTATTTTTACGATATCACTGACAGGAGTGACTTTCGGGTACGTTTGCGGTGTTTGTACGTGATTCTGTCGCTCTAACCCGGATTTGATGCAGGCGAATCCCGACTACAAGGGTGTTTGCCACGTTGCTCTTGCTCAAGAAGGTCACTGCCGTCCGGGCGAGGTGAGTCTGATATTTGATGTCTTGTATTGCGTGAGAGACGGTTCAGTTGTTGTCTCTAGGTTCTTTTTGGAACTGACTCGCATACTTGCACTGCTGGAGCGTTTGGACAATTCGCTACTGGAATAGGAAACACCGATGCTGGTTTCATCATGGGAACTGGAAAAATTTTACTAAAGGCAAGTAGGCGCTTTTTGCATCTTTGTTTCTTCTTACAAGCTTCGCTACTGTCTAGGTGCCCGGAACATTGCGATTTGTTCTTGATGGAGAAATGCCGTCATATTTGCTGGCCAAGGATTTGATACTGCAGGTGTGTTTGGATCTTTAGCGAGAGCTGGCTCCCTGTACTTGAAGTACTTATATGCGCGTTGAGGCACACAGATCATTGGAGAGATCACTGTTTCCGGTGCAACATACAAATCAATGGAGTTTGTTGGGACAGCTGTAGAACGTATGACGGTCAGTTCTTTTTCCCCTTACCTCATCGAGATTGTCCACCTGATTTCGAGATCGGAACTCACGCAGATGGAGGACAGAATGACGTTGTGCAATATGGCGATTGAAGCTGGAGGCAAAAATGGCGTTGTGCCTGCTGATGAAGTCACCTATAGTTATCTGAAGGTAAGTTTTAGTTTATTTGTTCGAGGAGACGACCTGTCTTGATTCTTCAGGGCAAAACAGAAAAGGAGTTTGAATCCGTGTATAGTGACGCTGGCGCGACGTAAGCATTGAATGCTATGCCTTGCGTCATGTTGATACTTTTGCAGGTTTATACAGGAGTATAGAATTGATGTATCCAAGCTTGAACCAGTTGTTGCGAAGGTAACTGTAATTGTCTTGACCACTTGCACTCGGTCTGTTTATAATTTTTTTGTGTGCAGCCGCATTCTCCGGATAAACGAGTATTAGCCAGGGACTGCAAAGATGTGAAGATCGACCGAGTGTACATTGGCTCCTGCACGGGAGGCAAGACGGAGGACTTTGTAGCTGCAGCCAAGCTCCTCAACAAAGCCGTGAGTAAAAGAGCTTTTTTTTTTTAGCTCCCTGCGGCTTACATTTCCTTTCTTTGTTTAACTTCCGCAGGGCCAAAAAGTCAAAGTTCCAACGTTCCTCGTGCCGGCAACACAAAAGGTTCATTCATTCTTTTTTCGTTTCCCTATTAGTTCATCCAAAACTAATGGATCAACAGGTATGGGTGGACTTGTACGCAATGCCACTCCCCGAGGCAGACGGGAAAACGTGCGCACAGATCTTCGAGGAGGCTGGATGCGACACTCCCGCTTCTCCCTCGTGTGCCGCATGCTTGGGGGGTCCCAAAGACACCTATGCTCGAATGAATGAGCCCAAGGTAATGTTGTTTAAGTTCTCCCTTTGTCCTCTTGCCTTAGAGAACCTTCAGGTGTGTGTTTCAACCACGAATCGCAACTTTCCTGGACGCATGGGCCACAAAGAAGCGCAGATTTATCTGGCGTCTCCATACACTGCCGCGGCCTCGGCTCTCACGGGCTTTGTCTCGGACTGCCGCGACTTCTTGTAGTTTTTTGCAGAAAATGTGAAAGGAAGCACGAAATATATATATATATATATATATATGTAGAGACTGAAAGGCTCCTCACAGCAGTTTATTATGAGCATGTACGTGATCTAGGGAGAACACGAAAGTCTCATGTATAACTGCCTTCTAGCAGCGTTTTCTGCTCCCGGGCAGGATCAAAGTGCTGTCTTTTGTACCGAGAGATGCTGCTGGCTCTCTTGGCTGGGGCTCACATGCACCACGTCAAGCTATTTTGCAATGCTAAGCGTCTATAGGAAGGGAGCACAGGCAGCGACTACTTTTTCCTCTCTTACATGCATATATCACTGGTGATTGCAGAGCACATTCGAGTAATGGTGGTAGCTAAACTGCCTCTCGATTGCCTCAAATTTTATCCAGTGTATGCAAAGTTCCCACCGCAAAGAAAAATACAGTTCTGAAACAGAAGGCTGGTTTCCACTGTTATCCAATGGTGAATTTGCTCAAAACCTTACTTCCACCTGCTGTCAATGGTGATCAAATGTCCATTCATTTGCCCAAAACCTTACCTGGCTGCTCAAGAAATAAGATAGTAGATCTCAGCCATGGATAAATCACCCTTTATTAATATATTAAGTATTATTATTATCAATTATATTAATTAATTAAAAAGTGATTTTTAACTTTTGCAAATATAATGCATTCACTTTATTTAGGTCTCGGTTATATTAATGAGGGCATTAATTAATTAATTAAAAAGTGATTCTACTGCTAAGGCCTAGAAGAAGAGTTTATACAATTTTTTATTGTTGCTATTTACAAAGTTTGCAAACATACTCACATCGTATTTCAATTGTTATAGAGATTGGTAAGTGATATATATATTTAGATGGGCTCTGCCACATCATCATGCCCTGCATTAAACACATGGAAGGGAAGACTAATGCCACATTAGACCACTACATCAAGAAAGGTAAAGTGAAAAATTACAAGGGCTTCTTTAACTCTTTCCTAAAGTGAGAGTGACATCTATTGTACAAGTTTGTGACATTTGCCATTGGTGTGCTTGCATAACTGACATTGCTGCACATATCTCTCACTAGTTTTGGCATACCTAGCCATTTTCTTGCTTGGCACTTGTCTCTTGCTTGCCACCCATTTTCTACTTACTTTATTCTCTCTCAAACTCTTGGCTTCTCTCTCCAGCACATAGTAAATATGGCTAGGGTTTTTGTAAGTGTCATTGATTGTGGGCAGCACTAGTACCAAGGTTTTTTCTCATGGGCATAGGTGTTGCAATGTGTAAGAGCTAAAATTAGTGATTGAGGACCAATTGACATTAATAAAGATTGATTGTAGGCTAGTAAAGAGCACAAGTTTTTTCTTGTAGTATACCATGGGTGTTGCAACAAGGTAGTTCTTTTTTTTTATCTAGCCATCACAACTTCTCATGTGCATATAGGTTTCAAAGAGTAAAAGGGCAAAGATCAATTGTAAACACCATTCTTATATATTGTGTATAACACATGTAATCATGGGATGAAATTTATATATATTGTCACCATGGATCCTTGAAACCTTATGGATAAATAAGGATAAAACAGTCACTAAAGGCTCAATTATTTTATTTCTAGTTACATTAAAGGGAGAGAGATGTGGCATCAAAGCAAATAACATGAGTTAGATTCTCATTTATTAGTGGCTACTAAAAAATATAATATACCCTTGAACAAAATATATTCTTACCCGATTCCCATTTTTTAGTGGCTACTAAAAAATATAATATACCTTTGAACAAGATATATTCCTACCCTAATTCCCATTTATTAGTGGCTACTAAAAAATATAATATACCCTTGAACAAAATATATTCCTACCCTTAAATTTAAAATTGTACGTATTGAGCATCCATATATATATTTTTCCTCTTATGGGTATCCACCACAGTGGGACTATAGTACGGGTGGATAACTAGTTACCTCACTTGAAAATAGAGATTTGGAAGGAAAATGGAGATTTGGCTCATTAAATCATATTGACACATTTTCGTGAGCATGATATAGGTGAAATATTTTACATTTTAATTAATTTATAATTTGTCTTTCATTTTTGTTGCATTGAGAAACATTCTCACTACATTGAGGTGGGTGAAGAGAATTCATCTATGGAGTATGCATAATGTAACTCCTCCACTACTAACAATGCCATTAGTTTCCATGAGTTGGAAAAGGGGATACAAACAACAATAGTAGAACAGAGTAACATCTAACCATGCTAGATGATGCTCTCATGAAGATAAACGAGGGGATATAAGCAACAATAGTGAAACCAAATGATCTAGATGTGCCAAAAGATGTGCCAAGTGGCATATTTATCCTGTAGTGTGGGACATTAATTATTTATGATTTTTATTTTCAAATTTTAATATTAAATTTTAATCTCTTTGCAACAAGTCATTCTTGCCTTTGTCTAGCAACTTCAAGAAGTTTATGTGACTCTTGTTATGGCTTTACCCAATGCAATTAATTAAAGAGAATGATTGGTTAAGAGTTTTGGGAGAGTTAAATGTTCTTGAGTCTAAGTAATAATGACTTCCCAAAAAGTTCAAGTTTACACTGAACTCAAGACACAACACAAATACAGTTATGATAAATCTCTATACAAGGAGCCATCACGTGAAAAAATAAAGCTTCCAAACAAGGATGTGGATGCAGTCTCCAAAATAGATCCAAGCAATAAAGGGGTGTAAACCCTATGCATAGATGGAGGTGGTGCCTCCAAGCAATGAGGTGGTGCAAACACTATGCATAATGGAGATGGAGGAGAAAGAGGTGGTGCCTCCAAGCAATGAGGTGGTGCAAACACTATCCATAATGGAGATGGAGGAGAAAGAGGTGGTGCCTCCAAGCAATGAGGTGGTGCAAACACTATGCATAATGGAGATGGAGGAGAAAGAGGTGGTGCCTCCAAGCAATGAGGTGGTGCAAACACTAAGATGGGAGGTTTCTTCTCCATGTAAGATGAAGGTGGTGGAGGTAACCTGATATCATATCCATCTCATCACTTCTAACCTAAGTTACCTCCACCTCCTCTTCCATCTCATGTGGAGAAGGAACCTTGTTCCATGAGGAGGCCCTATATGAGGATGAGGTTCCTCCTCCACACTAAATGGAGGGGCCTTGGTTGAAAGTGACAAAGTAGAAGGTTCTCATGAGGAGGTTCCATATCAAAATGAGGTTCCTCCTTTATGTGATATGGAGGGGAATCCACAACATGAGTTGAAGGCCCCTCACATCCAAATAGAGGTTCAATGTGATAATGATGAAAAGGAGTCTTGGCAAGGATCTTGGACTTGCAAGAAAAATAACATGGGAGAGGTAGTAAGTAAAATTATGTAGTTTTTCTACTATATAGTGGGTCATAATTTATATGCAAAAGATGTATTAACAAACCAACCCCCCCCCCCCCCCCCCCCTGCTCCCTTTTTTCCAGATGTATCTTGCAACCAAAAGGAGCTAGAATTTGCAAACGTCCATCTCAGCTGGGGACAGATTTAACCAGAGGCTCGCCATGGCCTAGAGAAGGCAGAAGGCAAGACTGCAGTAGACCAGTCCTCTCCACCTTTTTCTTCCCTACATTTTATGTAATTTCTTCAAATGGGATGAATTCCTAGAGGAACAAATGCTGTTAAGTTTATTGTGTGGCAATCCCACACAAGTTCTTTACTGAAAGCAGTGTAAATACATTTTTATTTTGCAAAGACGTTTGGGCATCCTGAACACACTAGGACGTGGGATTGCAACCTAAAGCTTACTGGAGACTGGTGAGCGTTTATTCTTTCCCACAAACAGGGGATGGCCGTGTTTGATGATTGGAACCATTGATTTTTTTAATTTTTCTGTTCTTTCACCTTTACAAGAGCAGAAGAAGCTTGGATTGTAACCTTTCCCCAGCGCATTTCCACCGATCATTTGCTAATGATCATGCAGACATCGTTTTCTAATGCATAACACACAGCTCAGTGTGCATATTTCTCCTCCAAAAAACAGTGCCCATCGCCAAGCTCTTGCAATGAATGTGCTTTAACTTCCCACTTCTTTACAGGTGAACTCGGGGTGTGCTAGCTATAGATATTTGACATTTATGTTAGTTGAGAGAGGAACTAAAATTTAAAAGAAGAAAGAATAAATCTCTGGAATCTAGGAGTTACAAAGTTCTATAACACAGTTACATGTTTATATAGTGAAACTCTAGACATTAACAATCAAGTAGCCCTGACGAGAGGGAAGAGGGTGTTGAGCTGTGGGAGTTTTTCCTTTAAATTCTTTTCAATTGCACAGAATCCAGTGTAGAAAGAAAACATAACAAAGAGTTATGGCCACTTTTTAATATGGTTGGGTGGTGATAATATAACAGTTGGCTTTGCTGGGATTTTATTAACTATAACCTTTGCCAGCCACCTAGCATTTGCTGACTAGTTTCTTTATAAACTTGTAAACCAAAACTAGGAAGAAGGGACAAGTGTCGGAACCAACAGAAATCAGACATGAATCTCCAAACTTTGTGTGTTTTATCCATCTTTGTATTAATTTCTCACCTTGTTTACCTATTGCCCGGATCATTAAGAATGAGAGTGAGGTAAATTAGGTCCCATGCAGGCACATATGAACGGTAAACACTATGCTAGTAAAGTTTTACTCTGTGGATCAAAAAGCATGCTGGACATTTTTTATTTTTTCTATTCCTGAGTCAACTTGAGAGTGGTGTAAGCACTTTCGTTGAGTCTGGGAGTGATCCTGGCTTTGAGAGTGTGTGCCATGTAGTTTACGACTGCTGTAGCTTCATCCATAGGCTGATCTTTTGGGCTTCCAGGAAATTTCCACTCGAATCCATGTAGAAGATTGGAAAGAACGAGCTGGACGTTTCTAAGACCCAGAAGAAGCCCGGGGCAAGACCTCTTTCCAGATCCGAATGGAAGCAGCTCAAAGTCTTGGCCATTGACACCGATGCTGCTGCCAATGAATCGCTGTGGCTGGAACTCCAGAGGATCACTCCAAACTTGAGGGTCTCTGCCAATTGCGTAGACATTCACAATAAGCGTTGCATTCTTGGGGATGTCATAGCCTGCAACATTCTGAGCCTCGACCGATGCGTGTGGTATGAGCAAAGAAACGGGAGGATGGAGACGAAAGCTTTCCTTGATGATGGCATTCAAAACCTCGAGCTTGGATATGTCTGCTTCTTCGACCATGCGTGTGTGTCCGACAACGTTCTCAATCTCTTGCTGAGCTTTAATCATCCAATCTGGGTGGTGAAGAAGTTCCGCCAGAGCCCACTCGATCACTGTTGATGATGTTTCAGATCCACCCAGCAGTAGATCCTATCAAAATAATCAAGTAAATAAAAACTAAATAAAAACTACTAGGTTTGCAACTTACCATGAGCAGAGCTTTGAGATTGGCCGCATCGTTTCCAATGTGAGACATTGTGATCTCCACGAAATCGGGAACCTCACCAGGGCGCTGCTCGTCCAAAACCTTTTGCAAGAAGCCATTCATCTTATCCCCAGCCACCCTTGCGCGGCGGGCAACCAAGTCGAGCCAGCTTAAGTAGGGGAAATAGTCAGTGATCGAAAACTCAGCTCCCACCTCAAGAAACTCATCAATCATCCCAATGAAATTCGAGGCGTCTTCCGCAATCGCGGGATCACCAGACGCCTTGGACCCAAAATAAGTCTTCTTCATAAGGATACGAGTCATGACATTGAAGCTCAGCGCCCTCAAATGTGATCTCACGCCCACAACTTGGCCAGCTTTGGAAGCCCTCGAGAGCTCGCGACTGAGATCCCACAGCTCGTCCCGGATGATCTGCGCGTTCAAACTCACCCTCTTGGCCGTGAATAGCTCCGTGGCACAGAGCTTCCTCAGCTTCTTCCAGTAGTCTCCATACGGCGAGAAAGACATGCTCCTGAAGTCAAAGATTATGGAGGCTGTGTTGTTACGAGGCCTATAGGCGAATTCCGTGTCGTGGATCTTGAGAAACTCCTTGGCCATCGCTGGACTGGAGACCACGAACACAGGGACAGATCCCAGGCGCAAGTGAAAGAGGGGTCCAAATCTCTTGGAGAGCTGCTGGAGTGCGATGTGTGGCAGCTTGCCCATGGCCAGGAGATGGAAGTGGCCGATGAGTGGTAATCCTCTGGGACCTGGTGGAAGATTGAGAGATATGCTGGAGAGCCATTGCCTGAGAATGAAAGCTGAGAAGAGGAAGAGCGTGACTGCCCAAAACATTGCTACCTAGTTTCCACCCCCCAATGGCTTCCTCTTTTTGTATAGTGCTGGCAAAGTTTTTTTGTTAACTTCCATTCCAATGTTAGATTGCAAATTTGAACACGGGACAAACAATATTGTATATTTTAAAGACTATTGCAAATATAAAAAAATCAAAAGATTGTAAAATTTCATGTGCCTTGGAAACTATTATATACCTTTACACTATTGCTTCTATGCCTCCCGTGCAGGAGCCAATGTACACTCGGTCGATCTTCACATCTTTGCAGTCCCTGGCTAATGCTCGTTTATCCGGAGAATGCGGCTGCACACAAAAAGAGACTGACTGCAAGTGGTCAAAACAATTACAGTACCTTCGCAACTATTGGTTCAAGCTTGGATACATCAATTCTATACTCCTGTATAAACTTGCAAAGGTATCAACATGACGCAAGGCATAACATTCAATGCTTACGTCGCACCAGCGTCACTATACACGGATTCGAACTCCTTGTGTGTTTTGCCCTTCGAACAAATAAACTAAAACTTCCCTTCAGACAACTATAGGTGACTTCATCCGCAGGCATAACGCCATTTTAATCGCCATATTGCGCAGCATCATTCTGTCCTCCATCTGCGTGAGTTCCGATCCCGAAATCAGGTGGACAATCTCGATGAGGCAAGGGAAACAAATACTGACCGTCATACGTTCTACAGCTGTCCCAACAAACTCCATTGATTTGTATGTTGCACCGGAAACAGTGATCTCTCCAATGATCTGTGTGCCTCAAGGCGCATATAAGTACTTCAAGTACAGGGAGCCAGCTCTCGCTAAAAATCCAAAAACCCCTGCAGTATCAAATCCTTGGCCAGCAAATATGACGGTATTTCTCCATCAAGAACAAATCTTAATGTTCCGGGCACCTAGGCAGTAGCGAAGCTTGTAAGAAGAAACAAAGATGCAAAAAGCGCCTACTTGCCTTTAGTAAAAAATTTCCAGTTCCCATGATGAAACCAGCATCAGTGTTTCCTATTCCAGTAGCGAATTTGTCCAAACGCTCCAGTAGTGCAACTATGCGAGTCAGTTCCAAAAAGAACCTAGAGACAAAAACTGAACCGTCTCTCACGAAATACAAGACATCAAGGATCAGACTCACCTCGCCCAGACGGCAGTGACCTTCATGAGCAAAAGCAACGTAGCAAACACCCTTGTAGTCGGGATTTGCCTGCATCAAATCCGGGTTAGAGCGACAGAATCACGTACAAACACCGCAAACGTACCCGAAAGTCACCCCTGTCATGATATCGTAAAGATACTTGATACTTTGCTCTTTTGATAAGTCCCGCAAAATATCCACATTTCGATTAGCGCGCTCGTCCGCAGTAAAGATGTAGTGATCGGGGATGATCACAATCTTCTCGGGATCCCAAACCTGAGGGCACATTCCACCGTTAGCACCGAATTCCTTCTTGAAAATCCCAATGGTCCCAGGCCCGCAAACATTGTGTGTCATGAGAACATCGGCATTGACCCACACATTCTCCCCAGGCACCAATTTTGTCTTCTCGGAAGCGCGAGCGAGAATTTTCTGTCAGTGTCATTGCGTGTCTCACCTGAGAGAAAATTCAGGACGAAATCGAGAAACTGTGGCTGGTACACTAGAGTTTCTAGACGACGATCAGTACACGAACTTGGAGTCGGCTCTGCTCGCTCTGGGATGCCGGGAGTGCGTTCTTCCTGCGGAACATGCCAAGAGCGTCGACGGTCGGAGACTCCGAGACGTGCTGGCTCGATGCAACGTGCGACTGACTGAGAAGAAGAAGGCGGAGTTTAAGTCCCGAGACATCGAGCAAGATCTAAGCCGGCTTATCAAGAGTACATCGGTTGGGGAGCTCCGAGAACTCGTTGTCAAGTATGAAGTTGCGTCAGCGGCATTAGCAGCTCTACTTGCGTACACGGATATCTTCGCAGACGACAGTAATCACGGGAAGTATAGGCTTCAGCAGTACAGCCTCGACAGATACATGCGGCTGGACGCGGCCGCATTGCGAGCGCTGCATGTACTCGAGTCCAAGAATGATCCGAACAAGAACTCGACCCTCTTTGGACTGATGAATCGCACGTCCACTGCTGGGATGGGCAAGAGGCTACTGAACAGGTGGCTGAAGCAGCCTCTACTTGACGTTGATGAGACCAAGCACAGGCATGACGTCGTCCACATGTTCGTAGAAGACGCCGAGCTGCGGGAAAGTTTAAAGAACTGCCTCAAACGTGTGCCGGATGTTGAGCGCCTGACACGGAAGCTCGAGAGGTCGAGAGCTACGTTGCAAGACCTCGTGAAGCTTTATCAGGTTCGTAGTTACTGAACACCTTGCTTACAGTAGATGCTCTGATCATTAGTATACAGGTAAGTGTTCGTCTCTCCGTCGTCAAAGATGCTCTTGAACGTTATGAAGGCGAGTTTGCGTCCGCCATCGAGGAACGGTACGTCGTTCCGTTGAGAGAGTGGACGCTTGCTGAACATCTCGGAACATAGGACGCACTGATCGAAAGCGCCATCGACCTGGATCAAATCAAGAATGGCGAGTACATCATTTCGGCATCATATGACAGCAGCTTAAAAACCATCAAAGCTGACCGTGATGCCGTGGAGGAAGAGATCCGTGAAGCTCATGAACAAGCCACCAACGATTTGGATCTTCCTGCTGATAAGTCGCTGAAGCTGGACAAAACGACGCAGTGGGGGCACGTATTCAGGAGCACGAAGGAGGAGGAGCCTAAAGTTCGCAAGAAACTTGCGGTGCGATAAAGTTCACGACTTCCAAGCTTCGAAGGCTTAGCGAAAGATAATGTCTATGTGTTCTAATTGTTTCTTTACAATGCAGATTCGAGGCCTGGGCCAAATATGGGAGGCAAATCAACATATATCCGTCAGGTGAAGCTTAGAGTTTCTTGCGTCTTACTCTGAGTCTGATACAAGCTCTTTTTATTTAGATTGGTGTGAATATCATGATGGCTCAAGTCGGCTGCTTTCTGCCCTGCGATCGTGCTGAGATCAGCATACGAAGTTGTATCTTCGCCCGGGTTGGCAGGAGACTGCCAGGTAACTCGGCTACGTCTTCAAGTTCTAGGAATAAAAACTTTTCCTGCAGTTGTGTGGTGTTTCAACGTTTAGCAGAGATGCTCGAAACCTTGGCGATATTAAAATCTGCAACTGAGACTTCTATGAACTCGGCCGGGGTACCTCGACTTACGATGGATTTGGTTCGAGTTTGCTGACTGCAAGACTTTCTGGTGTTCTCTAACGCTCTGTAAACAATGGCAGGTCTGGCTTGGGCAATCTGTGAGTACATAGTGGATGTGACTAGAGCTATTTGCAACTCTATTTGCAACACACTTCCACGAGCTCACGTCCATTTCTCATCGTCAAGGTCCATCAGCTCACGGTCCCAGCAAAGGTCCTCCTGTAGGAATCTCCAACTTTCACGTGAGCGCGCACATAGATCCCAATTCCCGAAAGCTCACAATGCTTTACAAGGTACTCGCAATTCTTCCTTTCTAATGGCTTTCCGTGAGTTCTTTTCCAGGTTGAAGATGGCCCTTGCGACCAAAGCTTCGGCATACACGTGGCGGAATTCCTCGATTTCCAGAATGCGTTGTCTGCCGAGCTCGAAGACTTCTCGCCACAGGCGATTCTGGAGGACAAAGGCGACGCTGGAAGCAAGCGAAAGAGAAGCAGCAGTAGCAGCAGCAGCAGGGACAAAGGCTGGAAATTCCTCAAGGGCTTTGCTGCGTGGCCGCTGGATCAGATGAGACACAAGCACGCCTTGAAGAAGGTCCAGGAGCTCAAAGCCGAGTTACCTTCCCGGAGGACGTTGTAGCTGCAGCCAAGCTCCTCAACAAAGCCGTGAGTAAAAGAGCTTTTTTTTCTACCTTCGCCCTGCGGCTTACATTTCCCTTCTTTGTTTAACTTCCGCAGGGCCAAAAAGTCAAGGTTCCAACCTTCCGCGTGCCGGCAACACAAAAGGTTCATTCATTCTTTTTTCGTTTTCATCCAAAACTAATGGATCAGCAGGTGTGGGTGGACTTGTACGCAATGCCACTCCCCGAGGCAGACGGAAAAACGTGTGCACAGATCTTCGAGGAGGCTGGATGCGACAGTCCCACTTCTCCCTCGTGTGCCGCATGCTTGGGGGGTCCCAAAGAGACCTATGCTTGAATGAATGAGCCCAAGGTAATGTTCTTTAAGTTCTCCCTTTGTCCTCTTAGCTTAGAGAAACTCCAGGTGTGTGTTTCAACCACGAATCGCAACTTTCCTGGACGCATGGGCCACAAAGAAGTGCAGATTTATCTGGCATCTCCATACACTGCCGCGGCCTCGGGTCTCACGGACTTTGTCTCGGACTAGTTTTTTCAGAAAATGTGAAAGGAAGCACGAATTATATACATGTAGAGACTGAAAAGCTGCTATGAGCATGTACGTGATCTAGGGAGAACACGAAAGTTTTTTCCGAAGCTCATGTATAACTGCCTTCTAGCAGCGTTCTCTGCTCCCTGGCAGGATCAAAGTGCTGTTTTTTGTACCGAGAGATGCTGCTGGCTCTCTTGGCTGGGGACCTCAAGCTATTTTGCAATGTCCAACAAGCTAAGCGTCCATAGGATGGGAGCACAGGCAGCGACTGTACGTTTTCCTCTCTTACATGCAGATATCACTGCATGTCTGATTGCAGAGCACATTCGAGTAATGGTGGTAGCTAAACTGCCTCTCGATTGCCTCAAATTTTATCCAGTGTATGCAAAGTTCCCACGGCACAGTTCTGACACAGAAAAGGAAAGAGGCTGGTTTCCACTGTCATCCAATGGAACGTCCATTCTTTTGCCCAAAACCTGCTGTCCAATCGTGCTAGCGTGCTTCTTTCATGGGCAAGAATTCGTCAGGTTGAGGCTGGTTTTTAAGTTTGGGCTGCTCAAAAAATAGGATAATAGATCTGAGCCATGGATAAATCACTGCTACTTAGAAGTCTATAAGTTTGCTTGCGGATACAAATGATTTATATATAAAATAAGTGTTAAATTTGTTTTCTATAAAAAACGAAAAGACTTTTATAGCATCATTTCCACAACAAAACATTTTGGATTGAGGCAAAGGAAAAGGCTTCTGATCTTATGCTTCTAGTGCTCTTCACGTAGAAAAACAATTAAAATTTTAACTCATTATTTGGGTCTGGGTTATATTAACTATGTCCTTTATTAATATATTAATTATTATTTCAAGCCTATACACCATATCAATTAGAGACTCTATATATTGATTATTAATTATATTAATTAACTAAAAAGTGATGCTATAAGCCTGAATCTAGAAGAAGAGTCCATACAATTTTTTGTTGTTGCTATTTACAAAGTTTGCAAACATACTCCTATCAAATTTCAATTGTTGTAGAGATTGGAAAGTGGTATATGATTTTGATGGGTTCTCATGGATCCTGCCACATCATCATGCCATGTGTTAAACATATGGTGCCAGAAGAGAAGACAAATGCCACATTGGACAGCTATATCAAGAAGGGTAAAAGTGAAAATGCTGTGAGAGTGACATCTGTTGTACAGATTTATGATATTTCTCATCTTGGGCATTGGGTTGCCTGCACAATTGTGAGGCTTCTTGACATTGCCATACATATCTCTCATTCATTTTGGCATGCCTAGCTAGTTTCTTGGTTGCCTTGGCACTCATTTCTTACTTGCCACCTTTTTCTTGCTTACTGCCTTCTCTTGCAGGCTCTTGGCTTCTCTTTCGAGAGCATAGCAAGTGTGGCTAGAGTTTTGGTAAGTGTCATTGATTGCAGGCAGCACTAGTGCAAGGTTTTCTCTCATGAGCATAGGTGTTGTAGTGCATTATCATGTGTGTAAGAGCTCAAGGGTGAAGATTGACTTGACTGGTGGTAAGATTGATTGGCATTAATGAGGATCAATCATAGGCTAGTAACAAGCATAAGTTTTTTCTTATGGCATCTCAACCATGGGTGTTGTAGTAATGTAGTTTTTATTTCTTGATTTAGCCATCACATTTTCTCATGCACATGCAAGTTTTAAGGAGTAGAAGGGTAAGGATCAATTGTAAACATCATTCTTTCTCCAAAACACACATTCTATGTAAGCAGCAATCAATTCTTTGTTTGCGAATTGTGAGTTGTAGTGACTTTGTTTTTCTTGTGTACATAGCATTGTCTCTCGTGATTGAAGCAAGCTTTTGTCTTCCACATGGCAACGAGTATAGTATGTGAGTGATCATATCAAAAGCACATATTTATGGGTTTTTTTTCTTTTAAAATGCAGATTTTATATGACTTCATTGTGATGCTTTAAGCAACACATGAATATAAAGCAACAAAGCTACTAGGCAATTCACCATTATTATTTATATAATTGTTTTTATAAGATGTCTAATACATATGATTTCAAATTTAGGGGTAGGATTATGTTTTAAATAGCCACTAATTAATGGGAATTAGAGCAAATGGCACTGGGCCATCCACCATTATTATTTATATAATTCTTTTTATAAGATGCCTAATACGTATGATTTCAAATTTAGAGGTAGAATTATATTTTAAATAGCCACTAATCAAACTAATGCCATTTACTTCGATACCATATGTAACGCACTTATCTCTCTTCTTTTAATCCAATTGGAAAAAAGAGTAATTTCCTAATAAAAATGCCTTTAATGGTTATTTTACCCCCATTTATCCCCTAAGGTTCTAAGAATTCACGATGATAGTATATTTAAATCTTATCCTATAATCACATACATTATACCTTGCATCCAAGTGAAGGTTTAGCATAATAAAGTAAAGGCTCAATATAATGAAGGGGAGGTTTGGCACAAAGATCTTGGACTTACAAGCAAAATGGAATGGAAGAGATAGCAAGTAAAATTATATAGTTTTCAACTATGTAGTGCAATAGTAAAAAAAATCAAATATAATTAAATTATGTAGGGTTGTAAGTTTACCATAGATGAGCTTACTTTCTCCTGACAAGGCTTAGATATTAAAATCTTAACATATAAATCATGACCACAAAGTTTTTTTACTCTAAATTATAGCAATGAACGTATATTTAAGCATTTAACATTATAAGTCACAATTTTTCCTTTCTAATTTGCCAATTTACCTTGTCTATCTGACCATTACTACTTTGGTTTTAGTTAAATTCCCTTACTAAAGTTCTCTATTTGGATGGATAGGGAAAATTCTAATACTTGTGTAGTGAGTAGCTGAAATCAAGTATCCCCCTCCCTAGATTAGATTGGCTTCAAGGTTTAGATACACTCTTTATAGGCATAAGTAGCCAAGCACACCAAGCCTCCAAATTTCTAACATCCTTTAGTACAATAAAATTTGATCATAGGACTTTCTAAATCCTAAGCTTTGGGTGTATCTTTTACTTTGGGACCCAAAGGGAAAACACCATAGCCTAATAGCCTAGTATAAGTACCTTTACTCCCCCACTCCATCCCAAAGGGAAGGCCCAAGCCTTTAGGAAGGAGTGAGGACTAATAAGCTATATGGTACTCAAGTGGAGCACTACTTCACATGAGTCGGAAGCACTATAATCAATTTCCTTTCTAAGAATAGGAGTTGTTCTTGAGCACTTCTTTAGGTGGCCTTTCTGGCACCACCCAAGTCTGTGCTCACTCCCACTCAAGGCCCCAAACCCTTAATCCCAACCTCAAGTCAGTTTGGAAGCACTATTGGAGAGTTTTTTCAAGATTGGTTCCTAGACCTCACTATCCTTACTATACTTTGGGAACCCTCTATAGCTCCCCGCCGCTCTTGGGACGATCACTTCAGGCTTTCACCCCATGACCTATATTAGTATTTGGACTCGTCCAAGACTGAGTTCGAGATTAAGTGAGACAGAGTCCAAATCAAGCTTGGGATCGAGTCCAAAATCGAGTCTAAGATTGCCCAATCTCAGATCTTAGACTCGGTCTCGGACTTGGTCTTGAACTTGGTCTTAGAGTTGGTTTTGGACTTGATTTTAAACTTGGTTTCAACTGATAAATTATTTATTGTTTTGGTCATGGTTTTAGAGATCATTTAGCTTACAACACCTTGGGGAGTTGGTTCTTTATAATTCCACCACCCATAGAACAAGTTCAATGCCCACATCAAATATCTTTATTTAATCCTTTAATTTGTTGACTATATCTTCGAAGAGTGTCCCTAAGTTAGCCTCCCGACTAAAAGCCCATACCAACAAGATATTGGTGTCCCTATACCTCTCACCTCACCTTGCTCTAGTATAAGGTTAGGATTTGAACCCGATTTTGCTTTATTAGAGGGTTGGGACTTGAACCTAACCTCCATAAAATATATCTATGGATTTGACATCCCCTTAGGGATTTGAGCATAACTTTCTATACTTGGTCAACCTAGCTAAACCTATGCTAATTAACTTACCTTCGGGTCCTAACATATGACATTAATTAATTTCATGAGTAGATACTTTAATTAAACTTTACATAAATACATAAAGTTTTACTTTGCAAAAATTCCTCCACTAAATCTTACATGTTTGTTAAGTTCTCCTCTGGTTCCCATGTTACTTCGCAAACTGGAAATCCTTTCCACTTTATATGGAACTCCTTCACCTCACATCTTTGTCGCTTGCTCTTGCATGCATTTAAGATGGCTTTGACATTGTATTCTTCTTCCCCTTGGATAACTTCGAGTAAAAGTTTTACTTGGTTCTTACAAAGTGGGTCCTCAAAGTATAGCTTGAGTAAGTTCACATGGAACACAAGATGCATTTTCCCCATCTCCCGGGGAAGTTGCAGGCAGTAAACTATCTTACCAATTTGAGCCTCAATCTCATAAGCTTTACAAACTTGCTTAAAAAACTCAAGATCAGTTCATTTCTAAGAATATATGCATTTTACCTTTGGGTCAACTTTTGGTTGATCCCACTTGGTAATCTTAGATTCTTGGTATTTAGCCACACCTTCTCTCTAGGTTAGAACTCTATATCTTTTTGTTTTTAGTTTGTGTATTTGGTTTGCCTCTGTTAAGCCCGTTTTAAGGAATCCATTACTAGATTCCAAATGTTGAGTCTTTCCA